AACAATTTAAATGAATGCGGGTTTGATAAGTAATTTTTCGTTTTATTAAATCTCATTACCAATTAATTAAATTTTGAAATTTTTGAAAATACAGCACATTTCATTTATTACGACCTTGGTTGTAGCGACCATTTTGCTATAGCGAATTCCCTTGAATTTAAAGCATACTTTAGTACAAAATTCATGTGATTATAGCGACTTCGGATGTAACGCCGACTTGGGTTGTAGCTATTGTTTTTAATGAATCATTTGTAACAAATCCCTAGTAATCCCATGCAGATATAGCGCCCGGAGTCGGATGCCAAAGACACGAAGAACTTTCTTATCTTTTGTTTACATCCTCACAGATGGTCAGCGAGTGGGTAACCATACTGGTTGTTTATAAATGTTAGTTAAAATGATTCAGGTACAAAGTCATATTCTGAGTAGCAACTCTGTTTAGCAAACTTTTGACTCTGTTTACCAAATTTTTGAATAGCTATGACTCCTAGAAACACATTTACTGTTAAAAAAAGGCGGAAATCGTTTCAAAATTGGAAAATTTTGAAAACTTTACAAACGTGTCTGTTTCTTTTTGACTGTAACGACTTCCGTATATAACGACGAAATTACAATGGTCCCTTCGTCGTCTACTGTATAATCAAAAGTGAAATTCAACACAGTTCTTTTAAAAGAAAAAAACAAGACTCTACGACTGTTTCAACGGAATAAAAAAATATTCAAAGAAAGTTTACCAAGAAAATTTATGCTACCTAGGAATTGATACATAAGAATCTAAAAATATTATTAACACTCCCCTTGAAAAAGTTACTGTGTTAACGAAACAATTGTCGTGGTAAAAATAAAAAATTGTGAAAATTACGAGTTCTATTATTTTTTATAAAAGCTCTAAGTCACTCAGTGGTATCAGTAAAAGCACAAATGAAAAAACTACACAAACAAAATTGTTTCTAAATTGGAGATCAAAGAATTGTTTGACTTTCTAGGTTCTGAATTAGAAATCAATTTTCGTAAAAGGGCTCTTTCGGTTTAGAACATTGGCTTAAGTTTAGGAAACTGGTGAATTTGAGTGATCTCGTTAAACTCTATTAATATATACTTAATGGGAAAAGGTCAAGCACATCGTCAAGTTTCTGCCGATGTCATTTCATCAAAATAATATTTCGCGCATTACGGGGTGAAAATGGATTAGGTGTATCATATCCGTGGACTGTTTGTCACCCGAGACGAAGGCATTTCTATATATACCTATACAGTCCTAAGAATGAACATGGAGAAAATAAAAAAAAAAACCATCTTATGGGCTTTACACGTCTGCCCCTCACACGCCAATGTAACATCTGTGAAACTTTTTTCGTCCCTTAAATGTCGAAAAGATGATACCATATTACTTTGGAAATCGTTCCATTTTAAGAAAAACTGTTGTTGATCTGCCATTTTTCTCTGAAAATGTATCAGCTGTTACAACACTTTTTGACATTGTTTAAAACCGTAATATTTACAAAATTTACATAACCCTATTACAATATGTATCTGAAGTAACGTTATCAAACTTTATGAACATGATCACTTATAGGTATACATGTAATAACTTTTTCGACATACCTGTTCAGTTATTTGCAATTACTCTTAAATTACTTCAAAAAAATGTGAAATTTAGGCAATCATTAACATTCTGTTAAACAAAGCTATTACGCAAGCGCTGCTATTGCATGGGAAATGAAATCACGGCACTTCTTCTTGTGGATAATGTAGATCACTAAACAACTCACAAACACAAGTAGTTTTAGTACATAACGGCCATTCAATACTAGATGGCGCATGCTGTTCTGATTACATATTTTTATTTATTTTATTTATTTATTTATTCAAGTCCCTAAGTAATTATTTATTTTTTGATTATTTTTTTTAGAATTAGTATCTTTTTATGAAATTAAAAGAACGATTGATGAAGGAATGAAAAATTTCATGTTTAAGCCTTTTACGTTATTAATTAATTAGAAAAAAAGAAATAAGATAATTTTTTTATTTTTTACAGGGTGTTTCAGTCTCTTGGGCGTTTCTTAATCGATATTGATGAATGTATTTTTGAATGGTAGGACAAATATCTGAACTACTTGATGATAGAGTTTCAAAATTCTTAAAATATGTAGAATCACGGGCAGAATCAAATTTACTTTCGATTATTACAATTTACATGATAAAATGTCTGAAACAGAGGGAGGATTACTACCCACCCTAGCCTAAGAAATGAAGCATAGTCCGAATATTTTTTTATTGTTGCTATTTATATATTTTTTTAGCTTTAACATGCAATTTGAAGGTTGAAAGGCAATAATAAGGTTTACCTGG